TTAAAAGCAGATACCACTTTTTTTTGTATGGGCCAGTGTTATCGAAAGTATGGCAAGAGATTTGTTTTCCAATTATTTAAGATGTTTTAACCGAGCCAAATGTCCACATGACTGGTACCTCTTGTTCTATGTTGTATATAAATTTCAAAGCGATTACCAGTAGCTCACCAGAACAAAATATATATTAATTTTTCGGTTTTTTGAGTTATGACAGTATTGAAGTATATGAACGTTATGCCTATGGGGTAATTTTTAAGCAATTTTCAATGTTATTGAAAAAAATAAAAATTTTACCTAAATAAGTTTTTAAAACGTCGATACTTTTTGGTATTCGCGATATTTACTCAGTACCTGTCAAAAAGTATCGAGTCTTCGATACTACTCAGTACTCATAAAAAGTATCGATATTCTGTACTCGGTACTCGTATCGTTCTATCACTAGGCGTGTAAAGTTTACGACACACAACCATACGACACTTACGACGCCATTGTGAATACCCCAACAGACTTATTTCAGAGTTATTTAGCAATAATTCGACTCCAGTGCCACCTTGCGGCTCTTTTTTCAATAGTATTGCCCCTACCCGGACCATAAATACGATTTTTAGTAATAACTCGACTCCAGAGCCACCTGGTGAGGCATTTTTTTCGCAGAAATATTTCCCTTCACGTTTTTTAATAACGATTTTTAATAACTCGACTCCAGAGCCACTTGGCGTTTTAAGTTGTGAACCTAAACCAGAGGTTCCCAAACTTTTTTTCTCGTAGACCCCTTTCAAAAAGTACTGGTTTCGGTGGACCCCCCTGCTGATACATCTCTAAATATTCCAAAAACTCGTAAAAAAATTAAATGTGAAAATTCTCATTGGAAATTCGAAATAACGGTGGAGATCTGATGGCCTTCACAAAAAATGGGCCATATAGTGTTTTTATTTAATGAAACCAATGAGCAATAGCACATTCTGTTAACCCAGTTTTTCAAGATCTTGGTAACGGTTTCTGGGTCCATCTCTCGAATGGCTTGCTTGGTATACGCCTTAAGGGCCTGAATCGTTCATGGATTTATCGCATAATGTCGGTCGTTCGCTGCACACCACAAAAAAGTCGAATAGCGTCAAATCGCAGCTCAGTAGCTCGTTTCAGGGTTACCACTAAAAAACTTTCTTTCCTACCAAGAGCTGGTTCAAAAACCTACCAAAATGGCTTCTTTCCTACCATTTCTTTTAATCAAGAAAATGGCGTTTGACAGCATTAAATACATTTATTTTTGCTTGTTTTTATACTCAAAACGAGATTTCCAGTACACAAAAAGATCGTAATGATGGCTATTGTATACATATAGCACAAAAAATTTGCGCGTGTGCTTTTAACCAGACCCACCTACCGACATGTATTTCGACCCGCTGAATCCGAATGTGAGGTCCGTTTGACTTTTAAACCCTCAAAATTTCGAGTACATTGCGAAAAACCGAATAAATGGCAAAACATTTACATCGTTTATAGTTCTAATAAAGCCTTCGGAGTAAATGACGTGAAAACTCGTAGCGGAAAATAAAATTCCATCGTAGAGTGCATACATATATAATGAAGTACATATATATATCGCTATCTAAAGGTGAAAAGGTGCCAAGGTGCCAAACGGCCAGATCTGAGGGCCTCCGGCTTTGGGACAAAATCTGCGCGCTGCGGGTTTGACATTAATTTCTTCGAGATGCGGTTAGAAACTTTAAGATTCTCCAATTTACTGGAAGTATTACTACCAATAAGTGGTTTTATTTTTTTTTGAATCGCTCTTCCGGTGCCATTTAAAATATGTTATCAACCTCGTAATTGTTGAAAATATTATCGATTTGCAACTGAATTTCAAAGAAAAATACCCGATTTATAAACCTGCCTTTACATCCATCAATAATCACTTGATATCCCTTTAGATACGCGGTGCATAACACTTTTTATAGCCTATACGGAGTTCGTAGAATATCCGAAGGTAATTGGTAAAATTCTGCCTATACCAGTAAGCAACCAGTTTTTTAAATGGTATTTGAAAGCAAACAGTTGATGAGTTGGATGAGCCATGAAACAGAATGAGGGTAAAACTGATATTGTCAAAATTTGGCAAGCCTACTCAAAGTGACACATTGCTACAAGCCAGAGATGCTTTCTGGTTTATTAACAAAGAAACTTACCAAAATGTTAAGCGTCCTACCATACTACCAACGGGAAAAAACCTAACAATTTTGGTAGGCAAAGCCCAAATCGGCAACCCTGGCTCGTTTCTGTAACAATTCTCTACCAAGGCGAATTGATATATGAATTCGCTGCCTTGTTCTCTACTGCTAATGATTAGTAGAGAATGACGTATATTCTCTACCAGTAGAGAAATAATCGGTAGATAAGAGTTACAGAAAGAAGCTACAGAGGTGGCCAATTGACATCGCCAATACGGCTGATAACACGATTACCTGGGCACACAAAATCTGGATTGTGGCACGGGTTGAGTGGCATTGCCCACCATCCTGCTGAAGCCAAAGATCGTTGATTTGAAACGGCCTCAAGCTCGATAAAAATTTATGAATTTGATTTATTAGGAAAAAAAAAAACCAAAGAACGAGCACGCCTTCAAGTTAAATTTCTAAAAATAGAATATAACTAAAAAACAGCAACCACAATAACCACATGATCAAGTCTAAATAGTGGTTGGGTTGGCATATGAAAAATGTGGAAAAAGCAACAACATCTTATAGCACAGTGGGTACATCACAGGTTTTGTAAGATGAGGTCACTGTGTCTAATCCCAGTGAAGGAGTCTGATAAGAGGAGGTGTTCTCCGAATTAGCAGCTAAAACTTCTACCATTTGTAAACTATTGCGCTTTTTTCCACAACAATTTTTCAAATAAAAAGGGCTCAAGTTCAATAAAAATTGTCTAATATTATTTAATTATAGAAATATATCATATTAAAATTTGATCTATACTAAAATAACTGATAATTTTTTGTTATATTACTATTTAGGTTGCAAAACTACCTGGCAATTAGAAATTCGTGTTGCAAAATTACAACAAAAATTACACTGTGTACCGAATTTTATAAATATGGAGGTGATGGGACCAACAGAATTTGAATAAGCTGGTCAAGTTATGAAAAAGTTTCAAAGAATTTGAAAAATTTGGGTACCATTTATTTTTGTATCTCAATTTTAAGTTGACGAAATAAGCTACTAAATAATGAGAACGTATAATTAAAAACACATTTTCCAAAGTTAACGGTGCGGGAAGGGAATGGGGTTTAAGGAGTTTTCGACACAGCTCAATGTTCAACTGAAAGACTTTTATTGTATATGTAGGTATACGTGCATATGTGTATGTAGGTATGAAATTTGTGAGCGAAACCAAAAAAAATCATTGTCCTTGTTTATTTTTGAACCTTAAATTCACAACTTCAGACAGATATAAAATGGAAACGGGAACCAACTTTAACAAATGCTTTGGTATTTATTCATATTTTGACCTCTTTTAATGAATGCAATTGGTCTCATTCTCATCACTTTTTGAGTGTTGCACTGTGTTATTTATCTTACAATGATTTTTAAACGCGTAATTTGCACCTGTAGAGAAGGGTCACTACAGTTATACGCACCCGTTCCCAGGTGCCAGAGCTACTTCCCTAATTCCTATAAGGGGAGAAATATAAAAAAAAGATCAGCTGACCTAAAACAGTGCTGTGCGAGGGCAAAAATCAAATATTTGCTTATCCTAAGTATAAACGTAGAGGGTATTCTTGGAAAGGTAATTTATCCATTATTAAGGCTCCGGTCCCAATTTTTGTACAATAATAAATAATTTGTAAAAAATCTAATTCTTAATTTTAAATCTATTTTGTTGAACATAAAAATATTAGATACTAAAGTTTAATGGAGTAAACCTAAAAATCATGTTTTTTCATTCCATAAATCAATGTATGACCTTTTATCTGTTGAACCAAAAAAAATGCTACGTTTTTGCACTTTGCAAAATAATCTGCTTTTAGTAAGGGTTTAAAAGACCTTATTCCCATAAAAAAAAAATAAAAAATATAATTAAAGGGAAACTACCATACCCATAATATGAAAATCGCTGCATTAGCTCATAAATACGTAACGGAACTTTCTCTCCCTTTTACGATCGTGTCCCCCTCACACGCCTCAGCAGCTTGATATTTGCGTTTGAAGCCTGTATAATTAAAACCTAAAATGTAGAGGTCCAGAATCTTATTCCTCGTACGATAAAGAAAAAACGGAAAACATGTTTTTATAAAAAAGTTTAAGCACTTCTTTGCGACACTACAGCAAAATGCTAAGTAAAAAATACCTATTTTTGCACTTTGGCACATTTTACATCCATGATTCCTTCAGAAAATTTTCTTAGATTTACACGTAAAATGCTGGCATGCTTTCCTCGCATAGTCAAAAATCTCCCATACTAATTGATCCGCCCTAACGTACATGTGTAATCCAAGTATAAAACTACCTGTATTTTGGGCCAATCAGAAAGGTATGCAAAAATTATGGCAAATAAATCGTAGTATATCTTTGATCACAAAAATATTTCACAAAAAAATAAATAAATGCAAAATAAAATCTGTTCTATGTGCTGGAAAATGCAAATTAATTAAAATAATTTAAAAACTGCAAACAAAAATTCAAACCGGGTGTTTATCCTAAAAACTACCTTGAAATAAAAAAATACAAATCGTTTCGGCATACCAAAGAACGTAATCTATAAGAAGAGACAACACGTTATAATTGTAGCGAGTGTGAACATCAGGAGCGTGCCTTCTTATGTTGGTATCACATATTGGACGGTGCAAGAAACGGGATTTTCTATACCTTTCCAATGTATTACTGCCAGAGTAATAAGTTTTATACAGTATCCACACAAAAAATATTGATGTAATTATGACACCCTTATATAAAATAATAACCCTATATAACTACCACGATTTTTTTGATAAACAATTTTGGTATTTCTTTTTTACTTTTATGTCTGTACCTGTAATATTCTCATGTTCAAAAAATACGAATAACCAAAAGTTGCCCCAACACATGTCTCCATCTCGGGGCCAACTGAGGCACGTGTCGGCGACGTGGTACCCTTAACGTGTTCTACTGCTCCATCTAATCCTCCAGCGGAAATTAAATGGATGGTTGGTGGCCGTCAAATTCGGAATGCGACATCAAAGACAAACGTCAGTCCAGAAGGTAAGATTACCACAGTTCTTTCGACTGTTTGGAGATTAATTCGAAACTTTGTAATATACTTTCAGGTGGATGGATTACTGTATCTAACTTAACCACCACGGTTGAGCCCAATAAAAAATCGTTGGTTGTAATTTGTCACGGTCTGAATATGCAGCTAACAGAGAATGTAGTCTCAACACATACAGTAAATATTTTATGTAAGTAAACATTACTCGACGTTTTTGTTTGTTTGTTTGTTTGTTTGTTTGTTTGTCGTAACCAGGCATAAAACAACGCGGGCAGGAAATAGCACTCAGACTAAATGACTTGCATTTTTTTTCATGCCCCTTTTAATCGAATAAACCTAAGCAGATTGTTGGACGTCAAAGAGCTCAGGTGTTCGTCTCTCAACACAGCGCGGCATATAAAAAGATCCCTCGAAAATTTTATTTCAAAATTTTAATGTGGTTATTTAATCCTTATTAATACTTGCATATGTATTAGTGTTTCCATCGGAAGGTCTACCGAAAAAAATATTTTGAAAAACCGTATTTATGGTCCGGTTTGGTTCGAATTTGACGTATGTAGCTGAAATTATAAAATACATATATTCGACATAAAATGTGTGTCTCGTTTGAGTTGAAAATTCATTTAAAAAGAATATTAACAAAAATATAACGATTGAAATTTATGTCACTTCACGTAACATTTCTACGTTGGGGTTGTGAAAAAAACTGAAACAATTTTAATTGATTAAAAAACAACTCTAAAAACAACTAGAATTACTCCAAATCATGTTAAAACAAGCTTCATGAAAAGAGCCATCCACAATTCGTAGTTTTGCGATTTTGTAAGAGAAGAAAAAATCATCTTCCATTTTTGTGACACACACACAAGGATTTAAAAAATTAAAAGAAAACAAGTGAGAAAGTCTAAGTTCGGGCGGAGCCGAACATTAAATACCCGGCGCAAGTATTAAATATATGTTTTTCACCTTTCCGAAAGCTACCGCTACATGGTAAGCCGGGGTGTATCAATTTTGAGTAAATTAGCGTCCTTAAATTTCGAAATATTGAAGTTTCAAGCATTTCTAAAATTTACCGTTATATAAAAAGCCGCAATTTTAGCCCGATTTCAATAATCTTGAACGTTTTGCTTTTATGTGGCAAGCACAATAACCATACCGAGTTTGGTACAAATTGGTAGAACGGTTACCGAGATATGTACATATATGTGATCATAAGTTGGCGGTGCCACGCCCATTTTCCAAAATTTTATCATAAACGTATTTCTTGGTAAAGAATTGTTGCAAGCGTCAATTTTGAATAAATTAGCTTTAATATTTACTGATATCTCGAAGATTTCGTATTTCTCTAAATTACCCTTATATGGAATGTGGGCGTGGTTATTGTCCGATTTTAAAAATTTTCGGCCATTTGGTATGCTGTACCAAGACCAAAGCTGTGCCAAATTTGGAATAAATCGGGGCAGCGGTTGCCAAGATATACACATGTAACCATAAGTGGGCGTGGCTACGCCCATTTTTCAAAAACTTATAATATTCTTATTTTTCGTTTTAAAACTATTGTAAATGTCAAGTTTGAGGGAGTAATCTTCAGTAGTTACTAAAATATCGCAGTTTTCCTATTTCTGAAAATTACCGTTATATGGGAGGTACGCGTGGTTATTGTCCGATTTTGCCCATTTTCAATACCATCCGTCCCAGGCCCGAAAGAAGTACACGTACCAAGTTTCGTTAATATACTTCAATTTTTACTCGAGTTATCGTGTGCACAGACGGACGGACGGACGGACGGACGGACGGACAGACGGACGGACGGACGGACAGACGGACGGACAGACAGTCACCGCTTAACCGATTTCTCTTTTCATCCTGATCATTTATGTATACATTTGTCTATATCTATCTCGATTGGTTTTGCCTGTTACAAACAACCGTTATGTGAACAAAGTTATAATACCCTTGTGCACAAGCGCGCTCGGGTATAACAAATGTGTTTCCTTGTTTGTATCTCATTGAAACGAACGCCTGTCACGTATTTGACGTATGGAAATACTCATATGTGTAAACTAAATGGTTCCATTTGAAAAGACAATCTTAACTAATAGTCAAATACAAATTTAGTTTAGTAAGTAGAGTGGAGTACTAAACCTATATTTTATTGACTTGTTTTCATACAAATAGAAGCATAGACGGTGACAGGTAATATGATCAACGGAAATAAGGCCAATTGACATTATTACCTTTTTAAAAACGAAATAAAATCCATTGCCTTTACTTCCCTTTCAAACATTCAATTTGTTTAGCTTCGCGGCGGCCCGCGTTAGCGCGCCACACCGTGCGCGCCGCGCACGACCGGCGCGCTCACCACATCACGCTACGTCACAAATTAGTTTTTGTGCAAATTGCAGATAGAGGGTATAAATGAATTCAAGCCCTCGATATTTCACATTTTTATATTTGTAAGTTGTTGGAAGCAGGGATGCCAACTTGGCTCAAACCGTGCCATTTGTCCCTATTTTACTTCAAATGGCAATTAATTTTTCAATTTGGGACAAAGTGCCAAAATGGCACTTTTGTAAAAAAAACAACATTTCAAAATAACATTGAAATCCTTTGCGTGCACTTCTTTTTCTCAACTAAAATTTTCTAATTTATAAAGGCTATTCAACTGGTTTATCTTATTTTATCATTGCACTTTTGTTTGGGAAATGTAGCTTTATTTTATTGCTAAATGTGAATGATTGAAAGGAATGACACCCTTTTTGGCACTTTTATTTTTCTATTTGGCACATTTTGGCACTTTTTTTCCTCAATATGGCACCTCATAACTAAGGGTAGTTGGTAGCCCTGATTCGAAGATTTCTGCTGTGTTTTGGGGCATCAACTTGTCTGCAGTAAAAAAGCATATAATTTGTGTTTCAAAAGTGTATGAAAACCAATCAATTAACTTATATGATCTCGGTTCCGATATTAAATAATCAATAATTGTTTATACCCGCATTTTGGCACATTGGCTCGTAGAATGTGCCATCTAATAAATAGTGTCGTAATTCTCCTTAGCTGGTTTTAAATGATGTCGTCACAAATTGCTGGCCGAGACATAAATACAGTGTAAGAAAATTCTTTTTCTATAATTGTTTCCTTATAGAAAAGTTGGTTTCTTTTCCACCTTAGACATTCCGAATTCTTCAAACTATGCTATTTTAAAACACAGAATTTTTTCAGTGTTCCTCCGGGGTTTTTGGACATGGACTGTTTCTTCAATTTAATAGTGTTCGCTTTATTTTTGTGGAAACGAAACATTTTTTGCAAGTTATGGATCATTTCTACACTCTTTCTTCAAATATTTCTCGTATTCCAACTGTGCGCAGGCATCGCATCGCATCGTGTTTTTACATATTCGTAATTTAATTTTTTTTAATAAAATGATTGTGTGTGGATTAATATCACAACACTGAAGATTTGGCAATAACCTTTTTCATCTATTAAAAAACACTTACGGGGCAATGTTTATTGTAAGAACAACATTTTTTTCTATGAATCGACATACTTTAAGCATTGTTGACGCTATTTCCATTTGAATGAGGAAATAGCGTCAATGACTTTATTTCCAAATTTTTGTTGACTTTATTTCGCTTTTGAAAAGGTAATAATGTCAACTGACCTAAATTTGAACTAAAATGGGGACAAATGACACGGTTTGAGTAAGTTGGTATCCCTGCTTCCAATAACTAACAAATATAAAAAAGTGAAATATCGAGGGCTTGAATTCATTAATACCCTCTATCTGCAATTTGCACAAAAACTAGCGTAGCGTGACGTGGTGTGTGGCGCCGGTCGCGCGGTGTGGCGCGCTGACGCGGGCCGCCGTGAAGCTAAGCAAATTTAATGTTTGAAAGAGAAATAATGTCAATGGATTTTATTTCGTTTTTAAAAAGGTAATAATGTCAATTGACTTTATTTCGCACCAGGATGGGAAATAAAGTCAATTGACCTTACTTCCGTTGATCTTATTACCTGTCACCACTTCATATCCTTATTTAACGAATCTTTAAATGAATAAATATTTTTTTCTCTTTAGTTCTTATTGCAACAAAAGCGTGTTGATGTTTTTTTTACTATAATTTTATTACTCATTAGGTTTATTTTTTTACACACCTTTCTTTTTTCTTGTTTAATAAGAGGACGAATCTTGAAGCTATCATTGGAGGTCTAATATTCTTTTGCAATGAAATCGAAACATCAACAACACTCATTGCTAAAGAATATTAGACCTCCAATTATAGCTTCAAGGTTCGTCCTTTTATTAAAAAAAAGGAAAAGTGTGTAAAAAAAATAAGCCTAATGCGTAATAAAATTACAGTTAAAAAAGACCAACAACGCGCTTTTATTAAAATAAGAACTAAAAAAAAAAATATTTATTGATTGAAAGATTCGAAGCGAAATGCGAGAAATGATAACTTTTCTGAAGCAAGCTATGCAACAAGTCACAACTATGATGAAACTTCTCGTCACCCTTGCGACGAAATCCGGCATCCCTACAATCCCATGAATATTCTCCTGTGGAATGCTAGTGGCCTATCAAAACCAGGGTTCGTATTTGTACACAAATGCGCTGCACATCCTAACATTTTACGCTCACACACGTGTGCTGTGCATATAAAAAATTAAAAACTTGCTCACATCACATGTGTGTGCCGTTTGGTAAAAAGCACGGGCACATGTGTGTACTTAATTTTTATTAATATAAAGCACATGCACATGTGTGTGCTTTGCGTGGAGAAACTTATACACTTCGAATTCTAACTCAAATCTTAAAATAATTTTTTAATATGTTTTCTGTCATATAAAAAACAAACAACATCTCACTTTTTATTGAATTCTCTTTCAAAAAATAACGTTTAATAAACAAATTCTTTTAAAAATATATTATGTGCATGTGCATGGGCTGAAATTTGCACAAAAATCGGCTCATACACATGTGCATGAGCTTAATAACAAACAGCACACACTTTTCTGTGAGCAGAGTTTGTTTTCCACATATGCACACACGTGTGTATGAGCAGTGAATGCAAGTTGAATGTGTTTCTGGCGTGTGTGTGAGCAGAGCATGTGTGTGTAAATACGAACCCTGATCAAAACACGTACTCGAGGTTAAAACGCTACTCGGGTCTCATAATATAGACATTCTCC